GTCAAGGAAAAGAGAGCGGGAAGCCACCGAAGCATTGGCTATCAGCAAGGGAGTGAGAAAGAACAGACCCAAACAGCTGAGCTTCCCCAGGGGGGGTAAGGGAAAAAGTGAGATATCTACAATGAACATATAAAGGTGGTAAATGAAGGAAGACAACAGCGAATGTAGCAAAGAGAGAAGGGACGGAGCAAACAGGGGCAGCGAACAAATAATGTCTACTAATATCGGTGACCATTCTATAAATTGAAGGATTGCAGAGGTTGTGAGAGCATACTGACAAGGATGGAACATTCGCTTCTGCATAGAGGCTCTCAACAGGGAAAGAGCGAAAAGCACCAAGGCATAAACGTAATCCTTGGTGATGGATGGGGTTGAGGCTAGAGAGAGAGTAGCAGGAGAGGCCACTGAATAGATCTGGTCACCATAATTGAGTTTCGATAAAATGAGGGCTGAATGTAGGTGAAGGAGAGTTCGACGATCAGCTCCCCATGAAAGATGAGCAAGGGTTTTAAGAAGGTTCAGCCGGCTGTGACAAGTTGCCTTCAGAGAGGTAACGTGAGGCTTCCAGGATAACCTACGGTCAAAGAGAAGGCCTAGAAACCTGACTATCACACTCAGGGATACAGGAGCCATAGAGGTACAAAGGATGATCGGAGCTGACAGAGCATCTAGTGAAAGTAATTTGGTGAGTTTTGGTACTGGAAAATTTAAGCCCATGCATGGTGGTCCAATTGGAAACACGGTCGACCGCATGCTAGGTTACTTCTTTCTTTTTGTTTTTAAGAAAAAAAAAAGAAAATAAAAAGAAAAAAAGAAAAAAGGGGAACAGGGAGGAATAGTTCCTAGGAGGAATGAAAGGGCCGAAAATCACCCTCCGCGCCCAAGAAGACCTCAACACCACAAGTAGTGCAGATGCGGCATGGAACCCGTGCCATACCCTACCTTTCATGCCAGTAAACCAGCAATCCAGGATAGCAACCTCACATCTGCCGAGCTACCTCGGTGGAACAAAGAGAGGGCGGCCGGATATCTGCCACAAAGCATACCTCCTTTGGCCACCACCCCCGGAATCCGAAAGGCGGCCTCCAGAGATAAAAACCCCTCCACCCAAAAGACAAACCCCAAAGCCACCCACCAGAAACCAGAGAGGGGAAATTGGATATCCCCAGGCGATCCAGATTCCACGGCAAACTACACCACCACAAGAACCTCAACGGAATGAGATTGACCCTGGTACCCTTCCCCCTACCTAGGAACCAGTAGGCCTGTGGAAAGAATCCCAAAGGCCAAAAAAAAGGAAGGGGAAAAAGGAAGGTTGGGGGGGGAGGAGGAGGAAAGGAAAAAGGGGAGGATGGGATAGGGAAGGGGGGATTGGGGGGTAATTAGGTTCAGTCTGAGGAAGGAGACCAACAGGTCTAATTCCTCAGACCAAGAGCCTCTTCACCATGCCAAGGAGCCCCCCTTGAAGAGGAATGCCAGTAGCAAGGGGCTAGTAACCCCTTCTCCTGTATACATCACTAAATATAAAAAAAGACCTGTTTTTCTTTTTAGGTCACCCTGCCTCAGTGGGATATGGCTGACACATTGAAAAACTTCTGAAAATTGTGAGACCTTTACTCACTCTGCCTGAGGTATCCCAGCAAGCGAGCACATCTCCTGTATTATCCCAGTGCTTAACAGAATAGGAATGGCATAAGAGGGTACAAATAAAAATGGGAACTATGGCTATAGTTTACTTAACCCTTTGACTGTTTTCGACGTATAAATACGTCTTACGAGCCAATGTTTCTGACGTATATATACTCAATAATTCTAGCGGCTTCAAATCAAGTGGGAGAAAGCTGGTAGGCCCACATGTGAGAGAATGGGTCTGTGTGGTCAGTGTGCACCACATAAAAAATATCCTGCAGCACACATTGCGTAATGAGAAAAAAAAAACTGATCGTTTTTTTGGAATAAAACGCCGACTTTGAGGTGTATTTTCGTATAGAAATTTATCGTTGTATTCGCGTTTTCATGGTCTTAAGTGATAAAAGGGGAAAACATATTACAGAAATAGAGATGATTTTCATTACTTTTACGATGAAAACGACCTTGAAACTGAGCTCAAAGTAGCAGAAATGTTCGATTTTTACCAATGTTCAAAGTGAATAAATCACAAACCACACGTCCCAATACACGTCAACTGGGAGTCTAATTATTCTTTCACTAGTGCACTGATTTTATTTATACCATTTTTACAATAATGCAGTCGTCTGCATAACAGTAAATTTTGTTTTTTTTTTGTATGAAAAAAAATAAAAATAGAAAGCAATAATAATATAAGAGGGGCCTAGAGATGTGACTAATGAACAGAGCATATGTTATTTTAGTGCCATGAATGTCTCCCTTTGGTTATTCTGGACCCTATTTTGAAATTGGCACCCTTTTTTATTTCGCGTGAAATTGGGCCCAAAATTGCCATTTCTGACCACCATATTGGGTAGTTCCAAATTAGTAAATGGGAGGTTTCTTGTACTCAGCTGATAGATAAAATGGAGTTCTAAAGAAATAGCTATGATTTTGGTCAACTGGAACAATGGAATTGGCTGAAAATAGGGCTCAAAGTCGGCGAAATCGCCGATACGCATATGTCGCCGAGACCGCTAACTTCGCGGGAGCATAATTCCACGAGTTTTCGACCAAATTTCGAACTTTTGGTGTCATTACCATCGGGAAAAGATTCTCTATCATTTCATAAGAAAAAATAATTTTTTTTTTTTCAAAAATTGAGCGACATAGAATGACAGTTTCAGAGAGGGGCCTGAAACAGTCAAAGGGTTAATAACATAAAGAGCGAGAATACAACATATCCTGACGGAAAATTACACAACTGACCTATGAGACTTATTACCAGGGGAAGGGTAGATGTTATCAGTAACACAGACTTGTACTCACTCTTAATTCACCGACCAGCTGACCCAAGATTCGCAATGCGTGGTCCACTACACACACAGCTGTCCAGGGCTCCCATTCACCAGACCTGTCACCAACCTCCCTCTCTAGCTGTTTCCTTGAGCTTATATGGTCCTTAAAGCACCCCCCTTCCCCACAAGGCATAGACCACATGTTACAACCTGACACCAGTTCAAGAATAAAAGACCTGACTTAAGCCGAGAGGCATGTCTGACAACTATTTGCCAAGGCAAGGTGTGTGACAATTTGCTGGAGTTAGGTCTCCCTTGGTGACCTCACAAGCACAACATCACAAAATGGCACTGATTGTACAATGCTGTTGTATAACACTGAATTATGAGAAAGGCATAAATATACTGTTATTCGTTACCTATATGAATTCAGAGATATAGTGTCATGTTGATGCCCAGTAAAGCTTAATATATGGAAGATCCTCATCCTTCACATTTATACACATTATCATGCACACAACTGTGTGGCTAAATAAATACATCATTGATTATCCAGCAATTGGTCATCTGAAATTCAAAACTGTGCAGCAGTCTTTTTAATACAGAGACCTGAAAAATAATCCAGAAAAACATTATATTTTTTTTACATATCAGTTGTCTCCCACCATGATGGGGCAATGAAATAAAAGAGGAAAGACATTCACCATCATTCATTCAATAGCTGTCTTGTCAGAAGCAATGTAACATCACAGTTAATGTGACCCTTTGAACTGTAACATCCTCACCCATCCTTCAGAGTGCAGGTACTGTACTTCCCACCTCCAGAACTGTAACATCCTCACTCATCCTTCAGAGTGCAGGTACTGTACTTCCCACCTCCAGAACTGTAACATCCTCACCCATCCTTCAGAGTGCAGGTACTGTACTTCCCACCTCCAGAACTGTAACATCCTCACCCATCCTTCAGAGTGCAGGTACTGTACTTCCCACCTCCAAAACTGTAACATCCTCACCCATCCTTCAGAGTGCAGGTACTGTACTTTCCACCTCCAGAACTGTAACATCCTCACCCATCCTTCAGAGTGCAGGTACTGTACTTCCCACCTCCAGAACTGTAACATCCTCACTCATCCTTCAGAGTGCAGGTACTTTTAATTTCCCACCTCCAGGACGTAACATTCCTCACCCATCCTTCAGAGTGTAGGTACTGTACTTCCCACCTCCAGGACTGTAACATCCTCACTCATCCTTCAGAGTGCAGGTACTGTACTTCCCACCTCCAGGACTGTAACATCCTCACTCTGGCAATATAAACACAAATGCAGTATAATGTGATCCTTTATTGACTACGTTTCGCCCACACAGTGGGCTTTTTCAAGTCACAAACAGAACTACCTGGGTGGAAGGAACGCGAGTATTTATAGTCCGGCTGAGGTCAGGTGAAGAATGCTGCATCTGATGATGTACCGAGTTGGGTTGTAGAGTCTAAAAACTTGGGTAGCTTGGAAAGGAGACTGGACAAGTTTGTGGCAGACCTTCTACAGTGTTCTTATGTGGGATAGCGATGAAGAAGTTTCTTGGCAAGTGGTTCAGCTATTTTTATAGAAGCCACTATTCTGGTTGAATTTGTCGGTATATCCGACAACTTCAACCAGAATAGTGGCTTCTATAACATAGCTGACCACTTGCCAAGAAACTTCTTTATCGCTATCCACATAAGAACACTGTAGAAGGTCGCTCACAAACTTGTCCAGTCTCCCCTTTTCCCAAACTACCCAAGTTTTTTTTGATCTACAACCCAACTCGGGGACATCATCAGATGCAGCATTCTTCACCTGACCTCAGCCGGACTATAAATACTCGCGTTCCTTCCACCCCAGGTAGTTCTGTTTGTGACTTGAAAAAGCCCACTGTGTGGGAGAAACGTAGTCAATAAAGGATCACATTATACTGCATTTGTGTTTATATTGCCATTGTGTCGGTATTTTATACCATTTATTTCCAACATCCTCACTCATCCTTCAGAGTGCAGGTACTGTACTTTCCACCTCCAGAAATCAAAGCCCCAAATAACCAGGTTCTCTGAATCCCCGATTAATCCTATTTTGCTAACACTAACAACACCAGAACATCAAAAAAAAAAAAATGATGTAACTATCGTGTTTTTGACTCTTGTTCAACCCCAGCCAAGGATGCTGCATAATCGAAGATCTATTCTTCATTTGATCTTGTATACAAACCATCTAGCAGACAATAACCTTTGCCTGTTTGACGTGAGGACATGGGAGCTGTGGCTACAATACTCCAGAAATGAACATCCTAGCCAGGAAAATTGTTAGTTATGGAAAATGCTGAATCTGTAGAGATCATTTGAGTATAACCAATCCAGGTGGTGTATAACCAAGCCAGGTGGTGTATAACCAAACCAGGTGGTGACAACCAAGCCAAAGGTTGTGTACAACCAAGCCAGGTGGTGTATTTGCCCAGCCAGGTAAATTTTATTGCCCAGCCAGGTGTTGTATAGCTCAGCCAGGTGTTGCACAACCAAGCCAGATATTGCATAAGCAAACCAGGTATTGCATAAGCAAACCAGGTATTGCATAACCAAGTCAGGTGTTGCATAACCAAGCCAGGTGTTGTATAACCCTACAGCATTTACAAATATACATAAGCCACAAACAATAAATACATCATTCTCCTTTTTAACTTTGAATATGTGTAGTGGGAGTTCATAGGAGATATGATGACTGGAGTAAAACACACTTGTTGGATGGTAACACTTATATTAGCAGAGTATGAAGGGGGAGAGCCCAACCTGCTGTGTCTTGCCTGGCATAGACCTATGCGGGAACTGAGGCCGATGCAGCACAGCCCATGCACTCATGCGGGATCACGTGATGTCATACAAAGTAGTCACTAGGCCTAGCAAAGGGGTCGTGTATGTAAAACATATGGATGGTACTAACTATGATACTCAGATAAGCTATACAACACATATAGGGGATCAGCAACTATGCTGACATTTGCACAAAAAAAATTCCTGTGATAAAATGTAAAGTGTGGTCAAACACATGTACTAGAGCAGTATTCCTGAAATAAATGTAAAGTGTGGTCAAACACATGTACTAGAGCAATATTCCTGCAATAAATGGCTATTCTTTTATCACAATACCATACACTACAGGTGCGCCTCAACCTACAATGGTTTGACTTGGGATATTTCAACTTTACGATGGTGTGGCAACAATTACTGTGGAGGTGAAACTTGAGATAATTAATATGAAGGCAACAAGTCCATAACTTGTATTCATTTACTGACTTTTCAATACTGGTATTTAGTTAATTATTTATTATTCAGTGACAGTAGTTATTTATTGACTTATCATATAATTCATATTTGACAAAATATTTTCAATGGTTTTGTGGGAACATAACCCCACTGTAAGTTGATGAGAACCTGAAGTCCAAAATCTAACGAAAAAAGTATTTTACAAATTCACATTATTCCATTTTTATGAGATGACAAACTTATTAATCTTTAAACACATATAAAATTATGATGCTACTACACTTTTTACAATAATTAACAAAGTGATCCTCTCAATACATAAGAGTTTCACAAGGCAAGCCGTTCAGCCTTTTTATAATCCAGCCTTACAGACTTACCTTCAGAGTCGTTGGGAAGCTCTAAACTTGTACTGATTATACCAGCACCTGAGAAACAACAAATGATGTTTTTTTATATAAAGTGGACCATCGGGTAATGGCATAAATCCATTCCAGAGAGCTTGCCTTTAACCGATTTTGCCTTTAGCCAAATTAATTTTCCCCATAAGAAATAATAGAAATCCCAAATTTAAACCGTTTCAAACAGCCAAAAGTATTAACAAAAGATATTTTTTTAAAAGATTAAATATAGATATATATACAGAAAACAATGACAAATAAATATAACATTTATAAATGAACATTTAGCATCACACTTACCTTTATTGACTTCTTGGGTATGGAAGACAGGTAGGAGGGGAGAGGAAGGCGAGTTTATTATGCTTCAATATGACATTAATATCTCTAAGGCTTTTTTTTTTTTTCACAAACCGGCTGTATCCCCCCAGGCAGGGTGGCCCCAAAAGAAAAAACGAAAGTTTCTCTTTTTAATTTAGTAATTTATACAGGAGAAGGTGTTACTAGCCCCTTGCTCCGGCATTTTATCATCTCTTACAACACGCATGGCTTACGGAGGAAGAATTCTGTTCCACTTCCCTATGGAGATGAGAGGAAATAAACAAGAACTAGAAAGAAAATAGAAGAAAACAGAGGGGTGTGTATAATATGCTTGTACATGTATGTGTAGTGTGACCTAAGTGTAAGTAAAAAGTAAACAAGATATACCTGAAATTTTTTGCATGTTTATGAGACAGAAAAAAGGACACCCGCAATCCTACCATCATGTAAAACAATTACAGGCTTTCATTTTACGCTCCATTGGCAGGACGGTAGTACCTCCCCTGGGTGGTTGCTGTCTACCAACCTACTACCTAGGGCAGCTTATTTTTCACAATTCATCTAATATATATAAAACAATATTAATAACATAGAAAAAAAGATATATACTCTAGAATGAATAAAATATGTCATAATGTATGAGAGGAGTTAAAGTGATGGAAGTGTTGTTGTTGGGTTTATAAGGGCCACAGAAAGATGCCGTACATATTTGTGGTGGGGGAGGTTTGGGAGCAAAGAACTCACCAACACTTTTCACTTAAACAATGTATGTAATTTATAAATAAGAAATATTTTCAAATTTTTAAATTTAAAAAATAATTAAGTAAGTTTATTCAAGTATACACAAATACAGTTACATAGATTATCATACATAGCAGCAATGTGTAAAGTACCTGGATAACCCAAAAAAGTCAGTGACGTATTTCCCTTGGGGTCCTTTTATATTTACACTTATATATGTATTTACTTTTATACTTACACTTTCATATTAACTCTTTCCTTGGAGGGATGTTAGTTTAATTAGTTTGATGGTGGTAGTTGCTGGCAGAGGTTTAGGGTGATGGAAGATACATAAGCAGGGCGGCGTAATGCTTCAGCGGCCCCCGATGCACAGCAAAAACATTGGTGAGTTACTTTCATGTCGTTTTTCCATCGCTTACTCGCTTCTAAACTCTATTGATACACTGTTTAATTCTTACACTTTACGCTGGCTGGCAATTATTGCTTTATCGACACCTTTTTTTTGGGGCCTGCTTTATTATCATACATATCACTGGAATCACTGCAGAAGGCACAGTTTCCCCTCTCGTACTCCTCACTTTGGTAACTTTGCTACGTGTTTTTTTTTTCTAGAATTCTACTGTTACTTCTTTCCTTGCTTTACCACAAGGGCTGGCACTAGAAGCTTTCGTTGGGGACCATGGTGGCTTATTTTAGCAGTTACAAGCACACTATAAACAATGGATATAATAAAATATATTGCATGACATGAGGAATCAAATCCTCCCTGGCTAGTAAACAATGGCACACTGGCTTACATGGGCTCAGGCAGCGCGGACATGTTCGGGATGAATCCCCTTTTAACCCAAGTTCTTGGGTATTCCCCAGCCAATATTTTTACGCAAAAATGTGCCGCTATCCAATTTTGGCTTTTGCCATCCCACCGTTACCCGGGGGGCCCACTGTATAAGATGTTCAGTAAAAACCGGGTTTTATTTTACATTTCCCTCAAATTTTTCTACTCCAGTTTTTGTTATGGCAGTGTGTAGATTTGGGACCAGGCCCTTGAGTTTTTCCGGTAGATTTTTTTCTGTATTCTTCTCTCTTCTCTCTCCTCTGCTCCATAAAAGCCAATAAACAAGGAAAATGAAATTAAAAACCATTTTCCTAAGCCAAAACTTACTTTTAAATGGTCAAAAACCTTGCGTATTAGAAAAAACTATTGTCAACTAAAATACTAGACAGTAAGACAAAAGTTCATAAACGATCAACAATTTTTAAAGAAAAATTTACCCGGACATTTGTTTCATCATGTACTTTTATAATGGCCCAAGATTACCCTTTTTTTAAGTACTTTAAATGGTCCAAGATTACTTTTGTCAAATAATGGTACGGAGTACCTTGTCAAGTAATTTATAAAGGTACAGGATGTGCATTTGGGGGGTCATTTAGTAAATAAGAAAGAGTAGAGGACCCGGGGCACTTCCGTGGACTTTAACAATTACAGGCTGGTATTTAAAGGTCACGCCATTTTTTGAAAACTGCATACTAAAAGTCTTCCATAAGAAAGATTTTATGTAATTGGGGGATGTCCCCGACCCCCTAATGCTCATTTTAAAGGCGGTATCAATGCTTTCGTAGGTCTATAAGAGCCCCAGAGGGTATTCATTTTTTTCAGGTGTATATATATTCAAGTTCTGAAAATTGTCATTTGTGCTTTATTTAGCCCAAACCCCCAAAATGGCAAAGGGGGAGGTAGGGTAGATTTTTTATAATTATTTTTTTCAAAATTTTCAGAGGGAAAGGTTAATATTAGTCTGTAGTTTTTGTTTGTAATATAATGTACCCCTTTTGCTTGAGTTTTGGATGGCAAGGGGCCCCCGATCCCCAAAAAGCGATCCAAAAGAAATAAATAATACGGCCCCTATATTAACTCTTTTTCCTTCCCGAAATCTTCGAAAAAAAAATCTATATCAAATTACTCCCACCTCCTATCCCAAAAATACTGACCTTTGCCGTTTGGGTTTTGCGAAAAAAAAGCACAAGTTAGTATTTGGGCTGTTTCCTCGTTAAAAATAAAATAAATGAACTTAATTGCGAAAAAAAAGTAAGATTGATTTTATTAAAATATTTTTTTGTTATCTT